TTCTTAACTAGAATAGTGCGGCAGGTTGCACTTAGGTACCATTAGGGTGGCTGAGTGATGCTAGACTTAGATGTTGGAAAATTCTATGTAATTGTATAGATATATAGTTTCAAGAAGCTTAATAAAGTACTAGTGTAACTGCTTAAGGTTAAAAAAAAAATAAAATAAAAAATCTAAGTTAAGTTTATTTAAATAAATTTATTTAGTTTAATCCAAATTTACTTAAATCTAAATTAAACTTATTTAAATTTAATTCAAGTTTAAATAAATCTAATATAAGTTAAAATATGTTTAAATTACTTTTATTAAATCTAATTTTATTAAATCTAATTTTAAATAAATTTAAATTAAATCTATTTATAAATATTAAAAAAAACTTAAAACCTAACTCTTAGAGTATTATTTAAGTTTAAAAATTAGAAAACTACTAATTTAATTGTAAATAAACTTGAACTAAAAAATTTTAAGACATAGCTTTTAGCCTAAGAACTTACATATAAGTTTAAGAATTAGAAAATTACAAATTTATTTAAAAAACTTAAAACCTAACTTCAAAATATTACTCAATCTAAAAGTCAAAAAAAATGCTTTTTAATTTAATTATAAAAAAATTCAAAACTTTATTTACAAAATATTGCTTAAACCTAAGATTTAAACTTGAAGTATTACTCAAATCTAAGATTTAAACTACTTAAGATCTAGCTTCAGAGTATTACCTATACCTGAAAGCTAAAAAATTATAATTTAACTAATATTATTTTTCAAACTAAATAATTAAATCTAAGATCTAAAAAACTTATGTTCTAGTTATAAGTATCACCTGAGTCTAAGAATAAAAACACTTAGAACCTAGTCCTTGAGTATTACCTGAACCTGAGAGCTAAAAAACTATAAATTAATTAATTACAAAATTTAAGACCTAAAACACTTAGAACCTAATCTTGGAGCATTGCCTGAGCCTGAGAGCTAGAAAACTATAAATTAATTACCACATTATTTTTTAAACTAATATTAAATTTATAAATTAAATAATTACAAAATCTAAGATCTAAAACACTTAAAACCTAGCCCTGAAGCATCACTCGGACCTGAAAGTTAGAAAACTATAAATTAATTACTACACTATTTTTTAAACTAATATTAAATTTATAAATTAAATATTTACAGAATCTGAGATCTAAAACATTTAAACCTGAGAGCTAGTAACATCATTATTGAGCATACATACGACAAATAACAGGCGATTTTTTGTCGTCTGCTCAATAATGTATACTTATATTCACGAAATATATTGACTAAACAAATTTTAATAATATTTTAGAAAAAAAATCATTTTACTGGGATGCCAACTTATTTCAGATGTACTAGGTTCCTTAATCATAAGGAATCACCAAATTTGAACATAATTTATCCTATACTTCTTGCATGTTGATTAAATTACTTGTATACATGTGTGAAGGATGTTCTGGCTCAATCGATTTTAGATTGATCTTATCAACTTCTGAAAATTGACGTTTAATTTCATTATCATTATCTTGTTCCATCTCGTCGATCCAATGACCAATTTTTGAACTAATGATGGTAGCTATCGGTCGTATTTTAGATCTGGATCCATCCATCGTTTAGCCAATATGATATAACATTTGGAATTCCTTCATTAAATCCTGGCCTTTCAATTTTAAAAGGTATACCGTAAATTGCTCTTTTCCAGTCGCTATCTCTGTCATAATAATGCCAAGACTATATATATCAGCTGCTTGTGTGAAAGGTTTTCCTTATAGAACCTCTGGAGCAACGTATGGAATAATTTCATAAATTTGATTTTCTTGTTTTATACTGACGGATGCAGAAAGACCTAAATCAGTGATATACGCATTACGTAAATCAACCTGTAGAATATTTTTACTGTGAAGATCCCGATGAGATAACTCTTCTGAATAGCTTCAAGGTCAGATACAATACAATTTAATAATTTTATTTATCCTTCTATTTCGTTTGTGATACAGCAACAATATTTTTATATTAGAATCCAGTTTCTGCGTACTTTAAAATGATTATATAATCTTTTGTCTTTTTCATCTTGTGATATTCCATAGCATTGTAAGAAAGAAGGATTGTTGAATCCGATCTCGCAGTATGCTTTTAACTACAACAATATAAAAATAAAATAAATAAATGTACTGAACAAATAGTCTGATGAGTGTCGCTAAGAGAAAAACCACACTTTAGACTTTAAATTTTTGAACTCAAACTGATGGAATGAATCCAATAATTTATAAATTTAAAATCAAAAGTGAGCTTTTTCTTTGGCAGCAAAAAATATTAAATAAACACCTCATTTATAAATTCCTGAATCTGAGTGCTCGAATTATGGATTATTTTTAACGCAACGGAAATCAAATTAGAACCATGCATAGTTACTCTTGACCATTTAGCATGGTACACGGTAGCAAATCCACCTTTACCAATCTCTTCGATAATTTTAAATTCAGAATAAGGAATCCAAGATAATTGATATTTATTTTCTTTCAATATTTTGTTTAAATTTTCATTAATATCTAGATTTTATATGTTGATTTAATTGTACTTGAAAATTTTTTTTTTCCTTTCTAAACCAATAATTGGCTTTTTGTAAATTCCTTTCTATTTCTATTCCATTTATGTAACAACGACCAGTCATATGAAATCCATTAATATTTCCAAATTCAGCAGCTTTTTTATAACAAATAAATGCCTTATTTTATATGTTCCATCAGTATTCCCCATCTCTGCAGATTTTTGATAATAAATGAATGCCTTATGTTCATCCTTTTCAACTCCAATTCCATTTGCATAACAAAATCCAACTTGACTTATTCCATTAGCATCTTCTATCTCTGCAGATTTTTGATAATAAATGAATGCTTTATGCTCATCCTTTTCAATTCCAATTCCTTCGTCGTAGCAATATCCAACATTTAATATTCCTGTAACATTACAGATTTTTAATAATATTCGAATGCTTTTTTTTTTATCTTTTTCTACTCCGATACCAATACCCAAGGTTTACAAACTTGGCCGAGTTTTCTTTGTTCATGTTTTTTAAAGACATATTAATTTTATCATATGATATTTCACTTAGATGTCTTCCTAATAAATTTTTTTTTTTTTTTGTACTTGTATATTTCTTGGTTTGCATGAGAATTCGAATTTGTTTTTATTTACAAACCGATATAAATAGCCATATAAGAAATTGTACGTACTAATATTGTGAATACAATATATAGGCTGTATCATCACTTCTGATATATTATATTTTATAAAATAAATTAAAAAGCTTATTAATAATATTAAATATAATGACTGTTATTTTAAACTATACTTTTAGG